CATCCATAGAATCCTGTGAAAAAAGGAGTTATCAAATCTTTTGTTTTCTAGTTAAAAAAAAAACTAAATACAAAGATGTGCGTTTCAATTACATCATCGTCCTTTGAAATCTATATTTAGGCTTTACCCCATTAATTGTTTCCATTTTTAACGTTGAACTCAACATATTCCCACATTCTCACAACTTTTCCATGACGTCATCTTCACACTGACTGGCTGAGCTTCTCTATAAATATGGGTTGCAAACACTCTAATTTTCATTCGATATTGAATATTCATCTGCGATGGAGACGAAGAAAGAAGAAATCCAAGAACGCTAGAAAGAAGAGCAACATGACGTCAACGCCCACCAAACGAAAGTCCACCACGATTGACGAACTAAAGGCATCGCCAGTTTCCAAATCACCAAGGAAAGTCTCGAAAAGCCGATGTGCACAGTGGTTAACAAAAGTAGCTTGCGTCGAACGAAAAACAGTTCTATGATGTTCTCCATGAACTTCTGCGATGACAGTACCAAGGCCAACCCCAACGCCGTAGAGATACTCCTTGACAAAGAACTGCTGAATGGCTAACCCATCCAAAGACGTCCCCATTCTCGGCTGCTCCACCATGAAAATGCAACAACTTCTTGAGTCAGACAACCTAATGCGTCCCAGATTCATCAACGTTAAAGCAAAGGTCATGAAGATTGAAGAACCATACAAGGTCGTTGCGTTTCCTGATACAAAAACCAAACGCGAAATCGTCTTACCTGATGAGACCAGCCAGATCAACTTGATCCCGTGGAGACAACGAGCACAAAGAGTCTCATTTAACACCGACCATGTTATCCTTCTTGAAAACTTGGTAACAACTACCTTCAATAGCAAAATAAATCTGACCACCAGTTTTAAGACAACCATCAAGGTTCAGCCTGGAGAGAAAATAGAAGTCGTTGCCAATCTGGAAACTTTCGCTACAAAGATCGAAATGACAACGGCCATATTGGCAATAAAAAACTTTCAGTACGCACGCAAGTGCTTCCTCTGTAAGTCAACCATTATCCAAACAGCTATCAGCTCGGTCACAACGGATTGTGCATCCTGCAAGGGGTCTTTCTTATCAAGACTAGCTAATGTAACAAACCAGTGCCTGGTGATGCTTTCAGATAATAACTGGTACACAGCAACTCAATCTGTTAGTATATTAATGTCACAGTGAAATAATTTTAAATCATGTCAACCCACTCAACTATTCTTCTTTAAGGTTTAACCAAGGTTACCTTCTTTATTACTCTGCCTGCGTATGCGCAGCGGAGTCTTAAAATGCCATGCTCTTTTTTCCTTTTCGTCGTAGTTTTGGGCCGACATTTTGACCGAGAAGCCCTGGGTAACACGGATGAATTATGTACATCAGTTGGCATTTAGGGAGGTTTGGGGGTGATTTTGTGCAATGTTTATTTTTCTTCGTGTCCTTGTGCCTCGTGTTTGAATCGACGTTCTTCCCCTTGTGAAAAATGGAAAAATATGAATGTCAAATTGAAAGAGCTTTCAGAACCATGTTCAACAACTACAAAGGTAAGTTGTTAAGATTTAGATTGTATACATATGCTGTGGCGGTAATTGCAATATTAGTAAACCCAAGATTTTCTGTTTTATAGTTGATTTAGTGATTCACATTGACGTAGTTATTTAATACAAACTAGGTATATACAAAGTACTGTTTGCTCTCTGAAATTATACATACTACATGTTTAGCGACCCTGCATGCTTAAGAATTCGATATTTCTATTTACTAGAGTCTATTTTAAATGTATGAATGATTACAAAGCCTGGTCGAATTGTAATCAGGACCCAACATTTTGACAACCTCATCATGTGACATGTGAATGCACATTTGAATACCAAGTCACATTAGAATACCAAGTCACATTTGTATACCAAGTCACATTAGAATACCAAGTCACATTTGAATACCAAGTCACATTTGAATGCCAACTTAACTTTAAATGCCAACTTACCTTTGAATGCCAACAATGAAGTTACAATGAATAAAGTTATATTAATTAAAGTTACATCAGTAAACAAAGTTAAGCAACTGAATGAAGTTACATCATTAAATAAAGTTACATCAATGAATAAAGATGCATTAATGAATAATTTCATATTAATGAATACAAAATGTATAACAAAAAATCCCAAAAGTATGAAAGACAACAGTTTGACAGGCAACAGTACAAAAAGCACCTCATTTTGTGACCTTTTGTCGCCTGTAGTGTTTCCTCACCTGCAGGCGGAGTAACGATTAAATTAACAATTTCTTTACTTTCTCCTTAGGTTATCTTGAGCTTGTTGAACTGGACAGAGCCAAAACCTCAGCTGGATGAAAAAGATAAGGTTCTTCTGTTGACAACAAAATACACACTGGAGATAGACCCAAACCGAAACATCATAGAAAGTACTACCCAATATGAAGATTCTGAAATGCCAAAAGATGACCTTGAAACGTTGGACATTAACTAACTTATTAATTGACATTTTAGTATGTTATATGCTTATACAGGCTATTCAAGTTTGAAATTGTAGTTTTTTCTGAATAATTTACATCATTGTAAATACTTGCTTTCTACAAAAATCCATTTTTAAATAAAAGTCAATCGAAAGGTATCTGATTGTTCACTTTCACTATTTATTCTATACTTCCCAGTTTCTTTTACACAAGTTTTCAATCACAATTATTTGGCTTAATTATCTCCTAGCTGCATGAGAAGCACCTATACATGTTTATAACTTTCACAATTAAAAATTCCTCTCTTAATTAAAGTCTGACATCTATATATTAAACAAGTTCACTGGACACTGCCTTTTCATACCCAAAAATTAAATTTTTAGCCAGGCATGCTCATACAGAAATTTAAGGTGGCTCGATACAGTTTTCAAAAATTTAACTGTTCATCACTTTGACACGTTCAAACAACGCATTTTTATGATTTATTCCACTGATATTGGAGTTTTTATATATTTTGATGTTTCTACTTTTGAAACGTATTAGTTTTAGTAACAAATTGTCCATTGCTATGGTGACATATGTGTACAAAGTTCACTCCAAAATGACCAATTGCTTCGGATAATTGGAAAAGAAACACGGTGACCCCCAATTTTTTTTCGTGCATTATTTTACTTGGAAGAAAAACTAACAATTAGCAAAATTCTATAATGCAACATTTTTGAAAATTGCAAAAATGACATTTTTTTCGATAATTTTTTTTTGCTATTATACAATTTTTTAATATTTTGCTAATTGTTAGTTTTTCTTCCAAGTAAAATAATGCACGAAAAAAAATTGGGGGTCACCGTGCCTCTTTTCCAAGTATCGGAGGCAATTGGTCATTTTGGAGTGAATTTTGTACACATATGTATGGTGGCCCAGGAGTGCCATTGAAAATTTATCAATTTATTTTAATTTACTATCCTAATTATTTATTTATTATAGTTTTTTTATCTTTTTCATTTTAAGTAATATATTTCTTTCACATTTATTTTTAAAAAAATATATTTTTAATACTCATCTTGGCCCATGAGTGCCACGAAAAAAAAAATTAAAACTAAGGTCATGGCCCAGGAGTGCCACTGCCAATTACTGCTGTTGACACAGTTTTGTGACCGTAAACAAAACGGCCGATCAAAGATGGCAAGATGACATTTAATTAAAAGACGACTTACAGAAATGGGTAAAGAATAACTTACAACGATAAGAAATTTTAGATTTTGTATCCATCGTATCCTTGGAGTCTGAGAACACTTGCACGTCAATTAAAAGAGTTTGGAATTTCATACATAGATTACAGTACTGGTTTGGATCGTGTTGAAGAGGCTGTTCGCAAGGAAATGGATGGTCCTGGTAGATTGCTCGGTTATCGTGCTCTGCACAAAAAAATACGGGAAGTTCACCATCTCATGGTACCAAGGAATCTGGTGTATGCGATGATGGAGGAAGTTGACTCTACAGGACTTAAGGAAAGAGGAGGCGTTGGGCAACGGAAACGACCAAATCGGGAAAAAAGATTTGTATCAAAGGTATCCAGTGGGTCTTTTCATTTAATATATGCACCCCCCCCCTCCCTTATTCCTAAGCCTCTTCATCTTAATTTTCCTGGTGGGTAGCTTGAGGATTTTTTTATTAAATAAATCGCAAAAATTAGGTGTCTTAGTGATATCGGGGGGGGGGGGCGATATCCTAAATGGCTTAATAAGACATCCTACAGAGTAACTTCCACAAATTAGAGACCAAATTTTTTATGTCCGAAGGGTATGAAGGAACCCCTCAATAGTAGAGGGGGTGTGCAACATTAGGCTCTAAATCAATTCTTTCTTATCTATCTGTTAACTGAAGATAATAATCTTATAGGGTTCAGATTATACTATGTCGCTTCATGGTCATGACAAGATGTGCGGATATCAGAACTCCACATTCCCTTTATGTATATATCGTGGCCAGGACACATACAGTGGCAAAATAATGTTTTTAAGAAACAGTGAAACAGTGAACCGAAAGTCATTGGCCGATATTACTTAGAATATTTAATTTCCAGTAAAGGTAAGAAGTTAACCCTCTAATTTGCAGCCTGTTTTCATCATGATTGCTGCTACAAAATAATCATGATGAAAATAGAAGTATGACCTAGTTTTCATAATTACAAGGTGTGGTAACTCATACAAAGTTTGTGTAGCCTACATTTTAATACAATGGCAATGTGCCTCCTTACTTTACTTTTAATTTGGCTGTAATGCCAGAAAATTTAATTCATCAAGTGAAAGGTCTTGCATTATCTTTTAAAGCATTTGACAAATAAAAATATAAACAAACATATAAAAAATCAAAATGTATTTTTGTTTTGTAGAGAATGTACAGTAATACAGTATAACCATTATGTTAATTAAATACATTTAATATTTCATCATTTAGTGTTGCCTAGTCGGATCAGAGTTGACAAGGGAACAGAGACTACCATTTTAGCAACAATGCATTCTTACCTGAGAAGTCAGCAGGGAGACTTGGCAGATGCTACCGATAGTGTGATCTATGGCCCTTCCACACAAAACAAAATAGAGCGATGGTGGAGAGAGCTTTTGGAAAGAATGGAGAGATATTTCAAGCGTCAACTAAATAGTCTTGTAGAGGAAGGAGAATATGACCGTGATGATGACACTCACAGGTAAACAATGCTATCAATTGATTATAGCAACATTTATATGGTACATATACTTCATAATATTTTGTACTTATCATTAAGATGCTCCCCAGTGTGCCATACTTTGCCATTATATCGTGATCTGGCTAATGATTATTTTCTTCATTGGTTAACTTATAAAGAAAAACTATTTAACATATCATATTGATATTTAGTGAAACACTTGACATATGTTTACCTGCACCTATTTTTTCCCTGTGTTTATTAAATTCTAAGAAATTCACTAGAAATTTTGTCATTAGGAATATGTTAGCTTTTGTTTACGTTCCTGTGCTGCAGAAAGAATTGGATACATTTCGAACATCAGTTTGGAACAACCATCGAAGTCGGTATCAACGAGACAAAGAACTGCCAGTTGGTGTTCCGGAACACATTTATCATTTCCCAGAGAATTATGGTGGTGAGAGACATGGTCTACCTGTTACAGAGGAGCAACTTCAAGAGGTTGGAGAGCTTTCAAATGTTTTGGAGGGAACAGATGACTATCTAACAGATAATTTTCGACTTAGATAATTTGCCAATGTTGCTGATATAGAGCCAGCAGAGGCAGTCAATGCATATTTGTATCTAAAGGCTAATATTGATTTATCAAGAGTTTAATTTGTACCTAACAATAAACCTAAGTATATAGTGTAAATCAGGGAGAAAGCAGAAATCTGCCTAAATGATTCAGTATATTGTATTTATTAAATACATGACGTTTACTTTTTGTGTTAACATAGGCATAAAATTTAATATACCTGTATTCACCTTTCCCAAACATTTAATAAAACAAGTTAAAAATTTCAACAGTGCATTATCATTACCAGTCCTACCTATAGTTGGACAAAAAGCAATGCTTTCAAACAGTTTGTAATGCCAATATAAAGGGGTTTATCTTGATGCAACAAATTAATGAATTCATGCACCTATGCTGAACAGCTAACATAACAATTTGAACATTAGTACAATATCAGTCAGAGCAGTTTAAAATGTTCACCTCACTTTTTGTCTAAGCAAAGGAGTTCATAGAACTTCTTGCAAACATGCTGTGAAAGGAATGTCTCAATGGCCATTCTAGACAAGTTGCCATTGCAGAAGAGAATATTATCTTCATCATCAGTGAACTGTGTACTGGCAATCTCTGGATCACAGAGTGAATAGCTAGCACCTTGGATATCCAGTACCATGAGTCGCTTCCCAGACTTTTCATAGGTGTAATGAGAAAGTGTTTCAGCTTTCATTGCTAAATCACTACCATCAGCAACTATAATTTCACCAGTGTTGTTGATGTATTTGGTGAATTTGCCATGAAGGTATGGTTCAATGGTTACAGATTGCTCATCAAGTTTACTGTAATACAGCTTGTTGTAAAGGAAAGAAGCACCAAATTCAGGGGTTATTTCATTGCTCAAGCACTTTGTGAAATGACGAGCCAAAGCATGCATTTGAACCACCTTCCTTGTGTGAACTTCCAGTGACTCAAAATGTTGAAGAATTTGAGGAACTTTATCCTCTATATGCTTTTTCAAGACAAATTTTCCATTAATGCCAGACAATGCAATGCACTCAAATGCATCTCTGAAACCCCCACTAGCAAACTTCTCATTGCTAAGAGATACCCGCGCATCAAAAGGATCAAGCCACTTTTTATCATCCACCGAGAAATATTCTAGCTGCAATGTTACCAGGCCCCTGCTTGGTTTTGGTGGAATGAATTTTCTAAAGTTCATCACAGCGCTGAGTGGCACTGATGCTGGAACTTTCGATTTGCATGGTGATGAATGGCGCATTGGGGGCACAAATTCCTTCCTCACGGAGTGGGATGAGGAAAGACCTAAGCCTGAGGATAGACTTACATCTCCCCGTGATAAAAGACCAGCCCTTTCAGGACGTGAATCACGTGATTCGTCGTCATCAACGTTTACAGTTTCCTTGTCGCTTTTTTCAATAAACCGGACGTGGAGTTGTTTCCAATTTGTTATTTGTTTTACGTCGGTGTATGATGGGCCTCTTTCCCCTGCCAATACATGACATTCCATGTACTTCGACACATTAAAATGCCTCGAGCATGCTCTCTTTATATTCTCCATCGAGAGTTCCTGGCCAAAGGGTACCATCGTTAACGCTCCTATGCGAGTGTATTTTTGGCATTTACCTTCAACTTCAGCGGATAAGCGTTGAACAGTAAGAAACTCAAGAGTAGAATCTCCTGATCCACTTTTTTTTCCTGTTCGTTTTCCCGAAACCTTGTTATAAAAAGCTTTCCATTTGTCAGACTGATCAGCATGTTTCCTTTTCGACATATTGTCTCACGTGTTTTGTTTACGGCGCGCCCGCGGTCACAAAACTGTGTCAACAGCAGTAATTGGCAGTGGCACTCCTGGGCCATGACCTTAGTTTTAATTTTTTTTTTCGTGGCACTCATGGGCCAAGATGAGTATTAAAAATATATTTTTTTAAAAATAAATGTGAAAGAAATATATTACTTAAAAAGAAAAAGAAAAAAAAACTATAATAAATAAATAATTAGGATAGTAAATTAAAATAAATTGATAAATTTTCAATGGCACTCCTGGGCCACCATACATATGTTGCCATAGCAACGGACAATTTGTTACTAAAACTAATACGATTCAAAAGTAGAAACATTAAAATATATAAAAACCCTAATATCTCTAGAATAAATTGTAAAAATGCGTTGTTTGAACGTGTCAAAGTGATGAGCAGTGGAATTTTTGAAAACCGTATCGAGCCACCTTAAGCTTACTAAATACTCGAAATACCTGTCCCTTTTTAACTACATCTTGTCAACACAGGTCACCGTGTCTTATAACGAAACTTCCAACCTCATGCACCACCATATCATAATATCTCTACAGAACAATTATTTCAAATAAACCCAAATAACATATTCATATTTTCTTAAAAAAAACTCAAAAGTGAAACCAAATATCTGCGAAATCAATGTATCACCTAAAAGACATCAACACAAGACATCTCTAACAATCATCTTCATCTAAGAAAAACCACTTCTGAATACGTTTTGTTTCTTAATACGTACACCTATAACACCTGGGGTGAGCGACCATAAAATACACCTTGATCCTATACGCTAGTTTAACTCAAATTTCTGACAAATATAAGAATCTTCCCTTGCATTTCAAGTAACTCACCTTTCACATAAAAAATTGCACTAAACTTTCTCAATCCCTCGAATATTTAAACAACATAATAAAAATAAAAATGAGGATCAAGCATTCGATTATTAAACTAGCTAGCCTCTATTCGGCCTCATTTCGCATGCTTTAAATTTTTGTGACGTCATCACTGGCCAATTATCTGGAAACAAGGATGCTGGCCACTGAGCTATATGATAATTTCTTTTCAGGAACTAGGAACATTGCATATAAAAATTATTATATTGCTGGCCCATGCACTGGCGCGGCACATAAGCCAGAGTTAACGCCTAAGCAGGTGTCTTTTTTCATCAGGGTTAAAAGAGGGGTTTCATTAAAGCTCATATCAGCAAGAATGTTCTATATATAAAGGGTATTGGCAATAAATTTTTTTATGCTTGCAATCAGGTAAATTTGACCTCCTGATTACGAATATGGTATTATTTTTTACCAAAACTGTTTAGTTCTCGAGTTATTTTATGGTAAACATTCAGTCCATCTTGAAAGTAGACGTTTGTCGCTATCTTGAGGACAACTGCCCTCTGCATGACGACGATTTGGGCAGAATGCACAAACTGTATAGACTTGTTGCATACCAACGATGTTCGCATAGATATTTCAAATTTTGGGGAAAAAGAACAGAAGACCGCTTCCAGCGTGTGTTTACACGACCATTCGAGATCGATTTTCGTCTCATGATGGCGTTTACACTCATTTTAAATACGCAAAAAAGTCGAAACGGTAAGTTTTTCCGGCAATCTGGCCAAGTAGACTAGAGTGTGCACAGCCAACAGTGTGCCTATTATAATGAAGCGCGATTGAAAATTTAATTTAAAGTCAGTTTTATTATCACGTTTACATAAAAATTAATTCGGTCGATTATCTACACCACATAAATATCATGTTTCTTACTCGTGATTTTTACACTTTTCCACTTTACAAGTACATTTGGTGTGACACATTTGATCTGTACCCCTGCAATCACATTTTCTGGTTGCACATTTTCCCTTACAAGCGCATGATACTTTGCTGACTCACTCTCTGTACTTGCAGGTAAAGCTGGCTTGCTGAAGCGAGATTTGCGATTGGCCACCACTAGCTCCTTGGATGGACGTTCTTTCCCTTCAAGATACTGCTCAACAAGTGATTTTGGTTCAACAGGTAGAAATTTGATGGCATGGACCTTAGCATTCTTTAGTGTATTGTATTCACTTCTAAGTTGAACAGCTTCCTTTAAAATTAGATCCACATATGCTATAAAAATGGATTAGGAAATGTTATTTTCGTTAGCTCTACTGTAATTTATCTTAGCTTTTGGAAAGAGAGATTAGTTACAGACTGAAACTGTCTACTTTTTAAAACGTTTACAGTTTTAGTAAACTATTTCTTACCACATGTTGGCTTTTCCTTCAATGGTTTGGCAACTGCTTTTTCTCCTTTGAATGCTTTTGGATAAGCAATTGCCCATCGAAGATTGCCATCTGCTCTGGTTGCTTGTTTTCTACTGCTGTTCTCATTGTAATGCAGATTTGCACAGTACAACCTTTTAAAAGATACAAATATATCACTTTTATTTACTGCAGTATTGCAAATTATACTATATTGTCATTTACCTTGCACTCAGGGAATGGTATGAATGATAGGTGTTCTTAGAAGCAAGAACATTGTCCACTGCATGCTTGGCCTCCAATCCAGATGTCTGGTGATACTGGGATAACTTTTGAATTGCTGTAATCAGCCGAGGTCTTGTTAGCATCTCAGTTAACTTCTTGTAAGCAGCAGATCCTTAATAAGATGAATAAATGTAAAATATTAAGAATAAACGTAAAATATTAACGGGTGTATTAAGGTCTAGATTGATTTCATAATAAATTAAAATGAATATTAGTAAACCTTGTTTCAGCCATTTTTTTCTATTGGGCCATGAAGACATTCAGTAAACACCTTATGCCCTTCATGTTTGTGAATGTTTACAATATGGTTGAGTAGACTGCGCCATTTTTCCTCTCGTTCATCAGCAGTTGTACTTGAGTTCCCAACCCAGTAGAAATGTGGTTAACAATGGACTGTCAAGTATGAAATAAAACAAAGTATATTACTTCACATTCAGGGGTAATAAAACTTGTAACTAGTAAAAAATTACTCACGCTAATCCATGGTTTAATTGATTTAAATTTTCTTTTTTTGACAAGCTTTGTCAATTTTTTCTTTTCTCCTATAAACATTAGTTATTGAATGGTTATTCTGATTGTAATTATACAATATCAAATGAAACCCATCATACCTTTTGCTACATGCCAGACATCATATGAGTGCTCAACTTCAGGTCTCTTATTGGCCATATAAGATGAAACC